TACCTTGCGAGTGAAGTCTCGTTGTATTCCTTCCACCTTTAGTATATCAGATACGCGTAGGTTGGAAAATAAGAACGAGCAGTATTCAGCGATAGGTCTTACACAAACTTTGTAAAGAAGGATTTTAGATTCATTTTGATAAAAATTACGGAGAATGAAGCCAAGCAATTTCCGCATTTTGGATGCTTTGGCTGAGATGTGTTCAGAGAAATTAAGACTGTGTGAGTAATGTACCCCTAGGTCAGTTACTGATGCCAGTCTGGGCAGTGTGTGATTGCTAAGTGTTAGTTTCGTTTTGAGAGATGTGTCTCCTATACATAACCAGCCGCATTTCTCTGTGTTGAGCTCTAACCTCCAGCGTTTGCACCAGTCGTTTACCATGTTGAGTTCACGTTGGATTGTTTCCATAGTACTGCGTAAATCGGAAATGTCAGTTTTATAGATGACTTTTAAGTCATCGGCATAGAGGTAGGTCTTACCTGTGCTAAAACACTTGCATATATTGTTGATGTAAATTATAAAGAGCAATGGACCCAAGACACTACCTTGCACAACACCACTGGTTATAGGTCGAGGTGTAGATGTATTAGAGTTAATCTTGGTTATTTGATATCTGTTCGTAAGAAAAGACTTGATCCATTGCAAAAGGGGATTTATAATTCCAACTGACTTAAGTCTGTTGATTAGAAGATTATGAGGTACCTTATCAAAGGCTTTCTTAATGTCGAAGTATAGTATAATAACTAGTTTCTTCTGGTCACGTATACGAGTAACCTCGTTGAAGAAGTCTATCAGGCATGTACTGCACGACCTTGTTCTAATGAAGCCATGTTGTGATGGGTCTATCAGATCTTCCTTGAGCAGGTGATCAGATAGTTGATTTTGTATCACTTTTTCCATTATGCGTGATATGACTGGAGTGATATTTATAGGTCTGTAGTTTTCAACCAGGTTTCTTGGTCCGGATTTGTGTTTGGGAAGAACATACGTTACCTTCCAGGTTTCCGGATATGTACCAGTCTCTAAAGATAATGTGTATATTTTGAGTAGTAGCATCTGTATGTCCGGTCCTGACATTTTATAAACGATAGAAGGGATGTCATCGGCACCAGAACTCGCATTTGACTTAAGGGTTTTAATGGCGGTATGTATACTCCTAATGTCGAAGTTTATGGTACTAAGATCGTTTTTGCCGGTGCACTTTATGTCGATGTCTGGAGCATCAGATGTATTCCCATTGTGAGAAAACCATTCACTTAATAGTTCGCATATGACGCTTTGGTCATTATACGTTACTCCATCGTGCAGTAAAGAGTGAATGTTGTGGTCTGTGTCCTTTCTTATGCGCTTCGTGAGGAGACGACATAGGGCTTGGGCTTTAGATGCAGCAGTGAGCGCAGTACGTTCCTCTACTTGCTTACGCTTGTTGTGTTGACTTTGTACTCCGTCAAGTACAGAGTATATCTGGTGCAGGGCACTGAAGTCCTTTGATATATGGTACATCCTTTTCAGTTTTCGCAGTTTAGTCCTAGTCTTTTGGTTTAGATATGGAGTAATTGTTTTAAAACCAATTTTAGAGGGTACAGTAGTGTCTAGTGCAGATTTGGTGGTGATATTGAATATTTCTAATGTTTCTAAGAGGCTATTACTGGTAAAGAAACTGCCCCAGTCAGAGTGCTTTATTAGAAATCGAAAGTCTTCCCAGTCAGCATTTGCATAGTCTCTATATTGGAACCGCGTGTTTAATGTCTTTAATTTGTTGCATATGGCAAGAATCGGAAGGGTGCAGAGGACTATTTTATGATCGCTGTTGTGAAACTTTTCGCCAACCACCATTGATGTTGGTGTGACATTATGACAGAATATCAAGTCAAGAATGTTGTGATTTCGTGTAGGCAGGTGTACATGTTGTTGCCAGCCGTGTATGTCTAAGGTCCTAAGTATGCTTTCAAAGCACAATGGGCCAGAATGTGTCTTCCAGTTGATGGTGGGAAGGTTGAAATCACCACATACAATTTTGTAAGTGAAGTCAAGCGAGGCAGCCTGAGCAAATGACTCACTTATAATAGTGTCATTTGAACTAGGAGTGTTAGGAGCTCGATATATGCATCCGATTAGTATTTTACATTCATGAGTGTGCACAGTAAGCCATATCGATTCAGGAAGTTTACTGAGGACGTGGTCGCTATAGATTTCCGCTCTCAAATATTTTGATACATAAACGAGACAACCACCACCCTTCTTGGTTACTCGATCACAGCGGAAGAGCTCATATGTGTCTATTTGTAGAAATGTGTCTGTGGTGTCGGAGGACAGCCAACTTTCCGTTATCAAAACAAGTGAGGGGTTGTTTAAAAGTAAAAGGGTGCGTAGGTGAGTCATCTTACTTTGTACAGATCGAGCGGTGATTAACATAAGTGTCAGGTACGGTGACTGTTTGTCTAGTAGAAGGGTATGATGTATACCCAGTGATTTGTCTGTTTTGCAACGAGAAAAGGAAGAATTGGGAGCGTCGACTCCATATTGATGAGCGTTTAGTTTATTACCAGTAGGGTTAATGCGAGAAGGGTAGTCGGGTGTTGTTTTGGTGAGAGAAGTATGTCTAAGAGTGGAAGGTAGAGTTGAATGGTTAGGTAATGTGTCCGGGGAATGATCAGGGGGTCCAGTCAAGAAGTTTTCAAGACTAGAGACATTTATCGAGGTTGAGAAGGATCTGCCACTCCCCATCAAATCGGAGTATATAGATGGTTTCAGAATAGTGGGATTGTCGCCCTCAACATTTGGAGACCCCATAGCAGTAATGTTGAGGGGGGGAGAGATAAAAAAGGATGAGATAGTGTGTATGTCGAATTAGGGGGGACTAAACCGCTGTATTGGGTGGCTTGACTTAGATAGTACCTAGAGTCAGTAGGTGGGTTTCCAAGTAGGCCAACATTATGGCTTCTTTGTGTGCGGTGGGCAATTTTAGTCCTATTGTGGTTAGTTGGGGAAGTTGTATGTTTCTGATGAGGAATAAAGGAATGCTTGTTATTGTTGCTAAGAGAGGTGTTTCTGATGTGTATAGTTTTGTGTTGATTCATGGGGCTTGCAAGGTTGACACTATATGACTTATGGGTATCACGTGTGGGTGTGGTTCTTGTCAAATGTCGTTTCACATTAGGATGAGTGGGTGTTGCCAGTTCACTATGTTTGTTGTAGGGCATTCTATTGCTATGAGAAGGTGCACGTTTTGGGTTAGAGGTGCTGGAGTATTGGTGGGTTTTTACGGAGGGTTTGGTATTATTTCGTACAGCGATGTCTGAGAGTCTGTAGCTGTTAGCGCAATTCCTGGGGTGGTCATTTTTAGGCATTTTACAGGGGCCGCTAGGGTGATACTTGGACGCTATTGAGGCATAAGTGGTTTGGCATTTTGGGGTAGCTGAGTGTTTGGGCTGAGGGTGAGTGGTTGTAGCTGCTTTATGAGCGGTCTTGTCCTTAGGATTAATTGCAGTGTCCGACGTGCCTCCGTTTTTTTGGGGGGCAGTGTATGATATTTTAGGATTTGTGCAGTGACAAGAGCTGTAGCTGCCGCGGCTACGTAAGCTGGGTTGATCTGTTTGTGTTCCATTGCAGATACGACGCTGGATAGCGGTCCTGTCATGAATGATCCTAATCTTTTTAAATGTTGGAATACGCCTCAGTAGTGACTGACTATTAAGGAGGTGATTAGCTTCAGTGGTACTACCAAACTGAAATAGAATGGGACATGAGGTTTTAGTGTGTCCTTTACGTAATCTCCTTGTTACACACCAAGATTGCGACAATCCACACTCTTGTAGCAGAGTATTTTTAGCAATCTTTATGTTCGTACTATCAGGTATATTATACACAATGACATCATGCATACACTGAAGTCTTTTCAACACTTCGGTTGATATATGGTCAATTATTTTTTCAGTGTTTTTTATAATTTCCAGATCGGGATTTTCTGGAACACTGATTAAATATTTGTACGGTAATAGGTCTTGAATAGTTTGGGTGAGGCTAAGTTCTGTTTGGGTGCTTCTAGGTCTACCAGTGGTGAGATTATTCAAGTTTATATCAAAGTTTTTAAGGTCGATATGGTTACATATAGGCCTGTTACAGGTGTCTAGCGGGTGGTCACTTTGTGCACACTTAGTTGGGGGATTGGGTATATGTCTGGGTGAGTAGTCAAGATCTACGTCATCGGGCTGGCTATTGTAGGCAGTCGTAATTCGTGAGCCGCTACTTAAGATGGCCGATTGTAAAATTGTTGGGTGTTTGGGGTCAGCCGCACTGTCTAAATACTGCTCACAATATTCGGTGCTCTTTTTGGGACTGACAAATGATGTCGACTCTAACAGCATGTGACTGCTCTTATTTATATCGACAAGCGAGATGCAAGGTAGTGATATGTCTTGTCCAAGTAAAGGGTGCACGTTTAGTGTGGCTGAGGGAAGATCAGAGTAGGATGCAGACTGATCAGTGTGTTTATAAGGTTTCGCATTATTCACTTTAGTGACTGATTTAGATCTTTTGCAGGTGCTATAGGCATCTGGAGAGATTATATGTTTTTTAGATGGCCTGGACATTATTGGAAGTAATGTTAATTCAAAGTTTAATTAGGTGGATGGCGATAGCTGTAATTTAACTTAGTGAACGTGTAAAGTTTTATGGTAGGATCAGACCCAGTATTAGTTAAGAGTAAATATATTACAGTTAATTGGTGATAGTGATAGCGTGAAAACTAGCAATATTAATTTATGAGGTTGAGTTCCTAAATAAGGTGTAAAGTTAATAGAACCCTATCAGTGACGAATTATTTATCGCTATTGTGGAGATGGACCTGTCAAGCTTATTTTGTAAATAGTTTTCAATGTTATTTGTATTTACTTTGTCAACCTTCCACTGTATGTATATTTAACATTAAATGACTGTAACTGTTGTTTTAGTAAATGACCTTGAACACACTTTCCGTTGTACTACTACATTGCGTGCCATACCGCTGCTGGCTAACAAATACAACGCTTCTCGCACACTCATCGTTCTATTTCCATTTGTGATTGAGATATCCGAAGTCTAAATCAAATTCTATCTTCATTTATAGACTGTAACCGAAATATATCACATTCAACGTTGGATTATATCATTAGAGAGTTCACCAACTTGTTCAGAATCAACAAACATTTATAATTGTGGATTTACTTTACTGGACCTAATCCTAACACGCGACGTCTGATCAATTTAAGTAACGTCCCCAATTTTTACTGTATTTGTGACAATTAATTATATATATTAATATTACTATTGATTTTTAATAACTTTGTTTATATTTTTTGTGTTCATATCTGTTTGGTCCACCACAATTATTTGGTGAGCCTTGAATTCATTATAGACGTTTACTGTTTATATATATATTCATTTTTTTTATTACTTGGCACGCTAGTTCATTTATATTTGTTTTTGCCATCATGAACTCTCCTGGTAAACTCATTGATATAGATAGTCCACTGATCAACTCCTTTAACTCTTCACAGTCAGAAGATAATGCCTTAACCTCGATCAACGCAATTTTAGACTTAAGACTACCAACGTTCGGCGTTAATAATCCAAGAATCTGGTTTGCACAAATCGAAGCTTTGTTCATGGCTAGAGGTATAAAATCTCAGGCAACAAAGTATGCTTATGTAGTTGGGGCACTCCCTATCGAGATTGCTGCGGAAGTCGGAGATTTAATCGATCACGTGCCAGAAGCTGAACCTTATGATAAATTAAAGACAGCCGTAATCCAACGCACCTCGGTTTCAGATGAGAGAAGACTGCAGCAATTGCTAACTTCTTGCGAATTGGGGGACAAGAGACCCTCGCAATTACTCCGACATATGAAACACTTAGCAGGGCCATATAAGGTAGACGATGCATTGCTTAAACAGATGTGGTTTCAACGTTTACCACAGAATGTCACCCAAATTCTCAGCATATCAGGAACTTCCGTCAATCTCGACGATCTAGCTGATATGGCTGACAAAATGATGGAGATTTATCCCGACAGCCAACGTTTGAATGTACTACAGACCTCTAGTGGAGACACGATTAGCCCATCTAACAGCATCCAACAACAAATAACACAGTTAACACAACAGCTAGCAGCACTACAAGCGACTATTTCTACCATACATTCTCGACCTGCCAGATCTAGGTCCAGAAGGAGATCAGTATCCAGACCTCGTCTTAGGTCACCCAAACGGACATCAGATACTTGCTGGTATCACGCGACTTTCGGGGAGAAGGCACGCCGTTGCACTAAACCATGCAACTTTAAAATAAGCAACCCAAAGGACCAGGGAAACGAGACGGCCAGACAGTGATGGCGGCGCCTGTTTCTGGCCACTACCCGAGCCGTCTATTTCACGTCAGGGATCGGATTTCGGGCTCAGATTTTTTGGTCGATACAGGAGCCGAAATCAGCATAGTCCCATTACACCTTTCTCAACGACGGCACTCGCAAAGTACTAAATTGTCTCTAGTCGCTGCTAATAACACAGTCATTAAAACTTATGGTGAACAATCACTCATCTTAGATTTTGGTCTCCGTAGACGTTTCACATGGGTTTTCATCGTAGCTGAAATTAAACAACCCATTCTCGGGGCCGACTTTCTTGGTGCTTACAGCCTATTGGTAGACATGGGGAAAAAGAAGCTTATTGACAAGAACACAAGTTTGCAGGTCAGTGGCACTCCTGCCTCGAATTACGAAATTCATGGTGTTCGAATGTTAAGACCTGAAAACAAAATTTTCACTGATATCCTGTCGAAGTACGAAAGCATAACCAGAACTGATTACCAAAACGAATGCTCCACACATCATGTTCAACACAATATCTCTACTACAGGACCACCCATTCGTGCTAGGGCGCGAAGACTCCCACCAAACAAGTTGCAGTTCGCTAAGAGAGAATTCGAACACATGATGCAGCTTGGGATAATCAGACAATCTAACAGTCCTTGGGCCTCGCCGTTGCATATGGTTCCCAAGAAAGATCAAGACTGGCGCCCATGTGGAGATTATCGCCGACTAAATAACCAGACTATCCCAGACAGGTATCCAATCCCTCATTTACATGATTTTTCTTTAAATTTACATGGAAAACAGATTTTTTCAAAGTTAGATCTAGTCCGAGCATACCATCAAATACCGATGGCGCCTGAAGATATCGAAAAAACAGCTGTAATTACACCTTTTGGCTTGTTTGAATTTTTGAGGATGCCTTTCGGACTAAAAAACGCCGCTCAAACCTTTCAGAGATATATGGATGAAGTAACTAGAGGTTTGGAATTTGTATTTGTCTATATCGACGACGTTTTAATCGCTAGTTCTTCCACTGAAGAACATGTTCAGCATTTACACACGCTTTTTGAACGTTTCAAAAGTTATGGTGTTGTAATCAACCCTTCGAAGTGCATATTTGGAGCCTCATCTCTGGAATTCCTAGGACACCATATTGATTCCCAAGGAATTAAACCGCTTGAAGAAAAAGTCAAAGCCATCTCCAGCTACCCAGAACCAACCTCAGTAAAATCACTACGTCGTTTTCTGGGAACATGCAATTTTTATCGTCGATTTCTACCAAATTGCGCCGATGTACTACAGCCATTGACAGATTTACTGAAAAATGATAAATCAGGTACCAAGAAAGAAAAAAACCAAATATTTAAGTTACCTTCTGATGCTAAAGTAGCATCCGAAAAAGCTAAATCCATGATTGCTAATGCTACCATGCTTCAACATCTAAATACTGACCCCACAACACAGTTGATCCTATGCACAGACGCTTCACAAAAAGCCGTCGGGGCGGTATTACAACAGCGAGTAAACAACTCGATTACCCCAATCGCCTTTTTCTCCAAGAGATTATCACCAACACAAGAACGTTATAGCACTTTTGGACGCGAACTCTTGGCTATGTATTTAGCGGTAAAACATTTCAGTTTTCTGTTACAGGGTCGCGATTTCATCATTATGACGGATCATAAACCCCTTTGCCATTCTTTTGGCACATCGTATGACAAACACTCGCCACGAGAAGCAAGACAATTGGATTACATCTCCCAATTCACTACAGACATCCGGTTTATCAACGGTCACTCAAACATTGTCGCTGATGCACTGTCTAGGAGAGATATCAATATGATGGTACGCAATCATGACATCAGCCTTGAAACTTTGGCTAAACTTCAAGTAGACGATGCAGAGTTGAAAGTCTGCAAAGAAAAGTCTAGCTTAAACCTCAAACCTGTACCAATTCCGCTTTCAGATGCATTCATCATGTGTGACACCTCAACAGGCAGCAATCGTCTGTTTGTCCCACATGCCTGCAGACGAAAAATATTTCAGCACTTACACGGTCTTTCACATCCAGGCATCAGAGCAACAACAAGGCTCATCACTGAACGTTTTGTGTGGCCGAAAATCAACTCGGACGTTAAGCGTTGGACACGTAGCTGCCTCCAGTGTCAACGCAGCAAAATACAAAAACATACTATCAGCCCGATCGGCGAATTTCCTATTCCCGACAAACGTTTTCAACATATTCATTTGGATTTAGTTGGGCCACTGCCCCCGTCCAATTCCTTTACCCACATTCTCACCGCAGTAGACAGATTTACAAGATGGGCCATAGCCTGCCCCATAAAAGACACTTCCGCAGAAACGATAGCTGGCGTTTTCCTTGAGCGTTGGATAGCAAATTACGGAGTACCTTCTATCGTCACTACAGACCGTGGTCCCCAGTTTCAGTCTATCTTGTTTCAGGAATTTACAAGACTTCTGGGCGTGAACCACATCAAAACAACAGCTTACCACCCAGCAGCTAATGGCATGGTTGAAAGATTTCATCGCCAATTAAAAAGCTCGCTGATGGCCCAAGATGATACAACCAAATGGAGTGACGCATTACCACTTGTACTCCTCGGTATTCGTTCAACCATAAAGGAAGACATTGGATGTACAGCCGCCGAGTTAGTCTATGGTACAACTCTAACGTTACCTGGCCAACTAGTCAACTATGAACCTACAACGCCAGGAGAGACTACTCACTTCGCAAGTCGCCTATTACAAACTATGCAGAATATTAAAGCAATACCCCCTCGTGAACACAACAATCGAGTCCAACTTGATAAAAACCTTGAAACGTGCAAATTTGTCTTTGTCCGAGTAGATACGGTTAAAAAACCATTGAAACAACCATATAAAGGTCCATATAAAGTAATTAAACGCACACAAAAATACTTCATCGTCAACAGAGATGGCAACAAGCAGACTATTTCTATAGACAGAATAAAACCTGCTTTCTGTGAAGCTACTCAAGTCAAGGAAGACAACGCCGTTGATAATCAACCCCTCCCACCAGCGACTGAACAACCAATGGAGGATAAAAAACTTAATACTAAGCCCCCTTGTTTAACACGCTCCGGTAGACCTATAAACAAACCCAAGCGTTATGTCCATTTCGTTGATTAAAAAAAAGCAAAACACACACCTCTCTATGTCACACACTACTAATTTCACCCAAAAAAATTTTTTTTTCCTTTTCACAGTGTACATAATCACATTTTTCCACAATTACTCGTTTTGTCAGTTTTTTTTTAAAAAAAAAAAAATTTTGTTTTGTTTTTGTCACACTAATAAACGAGTAAACTCTGTTTAGTTATTCATTTATCTTACACAAACATAAACAGTTCTTTTTTTTTGGCTCTTTAGCATTTTTACACATTATTATTATCATTGTCAGCCAACCAAGGCATTAAATGACAGTGCCTTCATTTTTTTTTTTGTGTGTGTGCTCATTATACTATGCTACATCTCTACTACACGTCATACTCATCTCCACATTTTTGTTGGTTATAACTGTAAATATTATTTTTGTATACATGTATATATCACACCCTTACATTTTTTCTATTATAACCAGTGTTACCTCCGGACACTCTGGGGGGAGCTATGTGGAGATGGACCTGTCAAGCTTATTTTGTAAATAGTTTTCAATGTTATTTGTATTTACTTTGTCAACCTTCCACTGTATGTATATTTAACATTAAATGACTGTAACTGTTGTTTTAGTAAATGACCTTGAACACACTTTCCGTTGTACTACTACATTGCGTGCCATACCGCTGCTGGCTAACAAATACAACGCTTCTCGCACACTCATCGTTCTATTTCCATTTGTGATTGAGATATCCGAAGTCTAAATCAAATTCTATCTTCATTTATAGACTGTAACCGAAATATATCACATTCAACGTTGGATTATATCATTAGAGAGTTCACCAACTTGTTCAGAATCAACAAACATTTATAATTGTGGATTTACTTTACTGGACCTAATCCTAACACGCGACGTCTGATCAATTTAAGTAACGTCCCCAATTTTTACTGTATTTGTGACAATTAATTATATATATTAATATTACTATTGATTTTTAATAACTTTGTTTATATTTTTTGTGTTCATATCTGTTTGGTCCACCACACTATCAAGTGTTAAATTAAAGAGAAAAACGGATAGGGAAATAAAATAATACCACGTGAAAAAAAGTTACAACCTTCAAAAGCGCGCCGTAATATATGGTTTCTTCACAACACTTATGTACCCATAAGATGGTTTTGAATAATAATAATAAGAAGAAGAAGCTCAAAATCGCCAGGGCCGAGTTTGATTATATGCTACAAATGGATATTATCCGTCCCTTTGATAGTCAATGGGCATCCTCTTTGCATATGGTCCCAAAGAAGAATGAAGGAGACTGGTGGCCGCGTGGGGATTATAGAGCCCTCAACCGTCAAACTGTATTAGAAAGGTACCCAATACCGCATATCCAAGATTTCACAAACGGTTTACAAGATATGAACGTATTCACTAAAATTGACTTAGTCAGGGCATATCACAATATCCCGGTGGCTGATGAAGATATCCTCAATACAGCTATTACTACACCCTTTGGCTTATTCGAGTTTTTACGCGTGCCATTCGGCCTGAGGACTGCGGCACAGACATTTCAAAGATTCATAGATAACCTACTTCGAGATATGCCATTTGTGCAGGGGTATATAGACGATTTGTTAATTGCCAGCCCCGATTTACAATCACACGGACAGCATGTACGAGCAGTGTTGAAATGACCGGATGAACATACATCAAATTAAGTGTGTTTTCGATGTTCAAAATCTAGAATTTCTCGGCCACACAATAACCCCAGAAGGGATTTAACCTATCATAAATGAAGTGGATAACATCAAACAATACCCGATACCTAGCTCCTTAACACAAATGAGAAGTTTTCTAGGTCTAATTAACTTTTATCGCAGATTCATACTAGGTTGTGCACAATTAATGCAACCTTTGACAGACTCACTTAAAGGAGAGCCAAAAGAATTCAAACTGTCTTCTGACGCGGTCGAAGCTATTAAACAGCTTAAAGATAAACTGGCTCAAGCAACTACGTTGATATATCCGAATTCTCTTTCCCCACTTGCTTTGACGGTGGATGCTTCAGATAAAGCTGTAGGCGGTACCCTTAACCAACTGATTAAAAACCCCTGGAAACCAATTGCTTTCTCGAAAAGACTCGCTCTAGCTGAGACAAGGTATTCTACCTTCAGGCGAGAACTTATTGCAATCTACCTGACCATTAAACAATACCGACACATGTTAGAAGGCAAGGAATTTATAGTCTTTACGGATCACAAACCACTAACGAATGCATTAAAAGCGAGAGCCGATAAATGCTCACCTCCAGAAGTCCAACATCTTGACTATATATCACAGTTCACAAGCGATATCCAACATGTCAAAGGTCAGGACAATCAAGTGACAGATGCTTTATCTAGACTAGAAATGAACGTGCTACAGCAGTCTACAGTAAACTTCGAGACATTGAAACACGAACAAGAGCAGGATCTAGAATTACAAAACCTACTTAGAATGAACAATTCAAGTCTTAATTTAAAACAGTTCCCATCATCTATCGATGGTATTCTAATTTACTGTGGCACGACCAAGGCAATGCCGCGACCTTTCGTTCCCGAAAATATGCGAAAGTTGATATATAATAACTTTCATTCTTTGTCTCATCCTGGTGCAAAAGCTTCAACTAAACTAACCAGATATATATGGCCGAATTTACAGAAGGATGTACACAAATGGGTTAGAGAGTGTTCAGCATGCCAACAATCAAAGATTAATTGTCACACAAATTCACCCATAGGTGTTTTCTCGCAACCAGATGCACGTTTTGCACATGTGCATATCGACTTGGTAGGTCCTTTACCCCGTTCAAATGGTTTTAATTATCTTTTTACATGCATAGATCGATTTACCAGATTCCCTATAGCCATCCCGATAGCGGACATCACAGCGGAAACAGTAGCCAAAGCCTTCATGCAGAACTGGGTAACCATTTTTGGTACACCCATAACAATAACGACGGATCCGAACTATTTAATAACTTGGCTAAACTTCTAGGCTCCAATAGGATACACTGCACTGCATATCATCCTCAGGCTAATGGGATGGTAGAACGTTTTCACCGTCAGCTAAAAACCGCCCTTATATCTCACTCAAACCCCAATCAGTGGACAGAATTCCTACCGTTAGTTATGTTGGGAATACGAACATCTGTCAAAACTGACACACTTCCGTTGGACATTGTCTCCGACTCTGGATTCCAACACAAGCATGAACGATGTCACAATTTGGTGACATGGGTCGCAGAACTGGAATGTTGGCACGACCAAACACAGTAAACGTTGCAACATCTCATCTACCTTGACAACATCCGTACACTATTTCTGGATATAGACCGAATGGTGGTCAATGGTGAAAAGGTCAAACATAGAACGAGTTGCAGCAACTCTTCATAAGGCTGTATATGCCTAATTAACATGTTTTTATTTGATAAATTGATCAAACCGACAGTCCTACGGAAGTCTATTCTAGGAGGAGGCTGGTGTAAAAATATAAGTCGGGTACATAGAGGGTCAACCGAAACCATCATGGCAAAGTCAAAACGTTATAACTCAATCATTCATTTACTTTCTTAGTTTTATGGGCATTATATTCGTTGCACCCAAATTCTTTCCTGTCGGTTGTTGAAGCACGGTCGATCGCTCAACTCATAAACTTCGACCCAAATAACGAGAAAACCAAATCCCAGTTCAGGTGCCAAAGTCTATTCGTAAATTAGTATTCAACTAAGACATATAATTATAATAGCTATAAGTTACACGGCAGTGATCTGAATAAGAACCTACTTCAACCACCAGTCTGGTTTTTTCTACACGAAAACGACGGATGGCTAAAAGTTCTTATGCGGTACAGTTAGAATTATCCCGGATTGATATCAGAAACACTGTCGAAAATGAGACCCTGAGACTCACCTGGTTGTACCTTCACATCACTGACTAAATCAAAGCATTGAACTGGTTTCCCTTCCTCAAAAGTGTTAGTCGACTTAAAGGCTTATTGGAGCCTGATTAACCAAGACAATATTGAAACAAAGTTAAACACTTCAGAATTTTCAGCGAACGAAATAACCCTTACATTTACAAACCGGTTGTGCTGTCTGTATTTTTATCAAAGAGAGTAGAAAGCTTACTGGACGACCAAGTGATATTAAAAAAAGCAAACCCCTCTATGATACTGGACTTGAATTAAGCAAAAAAAGCCTTTTGTTGCAAACGCTGTGTTTGGATGAGATAGGTGAACACATTGATTCGATCAGGTAGCGTATTTGTAAATAATCTCCAAAGTAAACATTATCTGTTTATCACCATTCGCATATTTATATAGTCTATAGATACTTAAGTGTATTGGGACAAGCTCGTCCAACGTCAAGGATTTCACTGTTATTGTATTAGACTTTACTGCGACACAGGTTGAGCTAGTGCAATCATATATACTGAGACTCTTTATTATTAGAGTAATATTACAGTCACCGTAAACATACGTTTCGGTCGTGATGGTACCCGAAAATTATGCTTTCCTCGTTAAATTTTAAAAATACACAATCCTAAACTTTCAGCATTTTTGAATCATCTGTTAATATAATATAATATAATAATATATTTCTGCATGTGCAGGTACACACCGTTTTTACAGGCATGATCTATAAATTACAACATTTGTTGGTTCACAAAATGTTTCCCAACTTATTAAGTTTATAGTTGTTATAAAGTGAAATCGTAGAGCGCTTGCTGTAAACTATGACCTTGAGAGGACGCGTACATCAAGTTTGTTCCAAACGTCAGGAGTTTCATAGCCGTGCTCTCAGAGCAAGATTCTGAAGAAAAAAGAGAAACAGAAGAGCAGCAAGGCACTTGGATATGAACGCAAAACGTTGCTTAACATAGGGTAGTAGAACGGACAGAGGTATAATAAATTAGAATAAATTCATATTATGTCTTGTTAGTAAAATGAAGTCAGAGGCTCCATATTATAGAATGTACTAATAAAGAACAATGAGTTGTGATGTTTAACAAGTTATAATAATAATAATAATAATAATAATTTATTCTCAAATAACAGTTTGTTACATGAGGCATGCCAGTTTACAGGCAAGATCAAATTGATACAAATGATACAATATACACTGCAATAAATTACATAGCTGGGTTGATAATTTATAAGATATGAATGTCCATGGTTTAAATCAGTACTACAGTTGGCGCGCTTCATGAAAATCGCGTTGCGGATGTGCGACTGATGGTCAAGAATAGGTCCATTGAAGGTATGGGCTTCTAAAAATCGCAATCTTATTTCCTTCTGGGATATCCAAGGCTTTAAGGATGGTGCAGGATGAAGTCACCAGTTCCATATCTCAAGGGGGCTGAAAGAGGGAGCAAGTAAAAGAAAACACGAGAGGCAGAGTAGCCAATATTCATGAAAGAATGCTTAAGGTTTGATTACTCAGTCTAATTTTCCTTTATTAAGGTATATGTTAAGAAAGAGCATTTTAATAGGTTAAAGAAAATAAGTGTTGACAAGGTGTGAGTGGACATACAACTGACAAATGGGGGCGATTCGGAAAAGAGCTGATAGTATACGATTATGTGTGATTATAAAATAAAATATAGTGCTAGAAGCAGTATTGTGATATACATTTGGTTGTCTTCCCTATAATATCGAAGCTATTAGAGGCTCTTTC